ATATTTATTTATTAGCACTTCCAGTTCTTCCTGCTTGTTCCCCATACTTCTCGCATTTGTATATAGGCATCTAAGATACTGGTTTGATCTTTTCTCCCAGTTTTGTCCTGACTCTCCTTTCTCTCTGCCAATATAGCCCACACTCCCTCTTGTTTCCGACCCATCTCCCCGGTCTCCATGTTCCCCACTTACCTGTGGGCTTTGCTCACCTGTCCCCGTCGAACCTAGTTTAAAGACCTCCTCACTAGGTTAGCCAGTCTGTTTCCGAATAGGGTCTTTCCTCTCCTCGAAAGGTGAACGCCATCTCTGCCTAGCAGTCCTTCCTCGAATAGCATCCCGTGGTCTAGGAAGCCAAAGCCCTCCTGGCGACACCATCTTCGCAGCCAGGCATTCACCTCCATGATGCATCTGTCATGGGCATTTAATGGGCTTTAAGGCCAGAAAGGACTATTATTATCATCTAGTCTGAACTCCAGCATAACGCAGGCCATAGACACTTATTTACTTCTGTACCAAGCTCATAGTTTCTTTTTGAACTATAGCATATCTTTTAGAAAGACAATCCAGCCTTGATTTTAGCCTAAGGTTTCGGCTTGATCAGAAAGTTTCCACTATATTTATGAAGTGTAAAATATGGATCCAACATTTCCTTTAAGCTTAGAAAGAGCAATAAACAGAAAAAGTGCACAGGAACTTCCTTACATTAGATAGGGGTGAGGCTGTCAGTGATTATTTTCTCAAAGTCAGGAGATTTTCTGTAGAGACCAAGACATACTCAAATACGGTTTCAAGGCTTTCAGGTTACAAATATAATTTATCAATTGCAAATTGTTGCAGTAAGTAGGTTTATTATATATATGTCAAATACAGTAAAGTCTGTGTGTGTGTGTGTGTGGTTTTTTTAAATTTTATTTGAACAAAAATATGCAATGATTCCAGAGACCACAAGAGGGCACATCAGACCACATTCTGAGATAATTTTGCTTTTAAGGATCTTGTTGGAAGACTGTTTAAGCAGCTCCAATCTTTCTATCATAGCTATTGCTGAATACATTTTTTTTATAAATTTAATTTATTCCTTACATCTATCTTGTTCTGGCATAACATGTTTCTAATTATTTCTGCTTTTACCAGGATGCCAAACTGGTGATGTGCAGTTTATCCTAAAAACTAAAAACATTTTCATTCTCATTTACCAAATTGCAGTTTACTGTATTGATAACTTGTTCCCTACTATTTGATTCAAGAATGCAGGTGTCTCCAAGATACTGAAAATTGTATATAAAGCATATAGTTTTCAGTGATAACAGACTTATTCTTGTGGGAAACTGTGCCCTCTTCATTGAAAGTGAATAAAATCAGCATTGAAAATGAGTAAAGTTTTCCACATGAAGTGGCATATGTAATGATACAAGATGTGCCACCAGAACCATACTTCATTCATTCTCCCTCTTACAACATGCAGAACTGAGATGAGCAGTTGAAATTTTCAAGGCTGACACAGAGTAGAAATTTATTTATTTATTTATTTTAAATTGTCAGAGCAGTAGTAAATTCTGGGCCTTCTTTTTCAGCTAGGTGGAACTATTGGAGACATTGAAGGAATGCCATTTGTTGAGGCATTCAGACAGTTCCAGTTTAAGGCAAAAAGAGAAAACTTCTGCAATATCCACGTTAGCCTTGTACCACAGGTAAATTAGTAAGATAATATATTTTAATTTTCAGTTAAGTTTTGCCATGTACTGCATTCTATATAATTTTTTCAGGAGTTGTAGTGGAGGGAGTCAGTGTTTTAAAGCTTAAAGAGACAATGGGTAAAATCCTTGCTCCTCTGAAGCCAGTGGGAGTTTTGCCATTGATTTTACTGGAGCCAGGTTTTTACCCAGTATTCTTTAATAGTCTCCCTTTTAGTATTCCAGGTAATGTGAGTGAAGACTAATAATACTAACTCATCTGTAAGGCTACATCTGCTTTATAATGCTGAAAATTTTGTGTTCTATCTAACCATAACTTTTACACCAAAAAATAGATTAAAAGGATTTTTTTTAAGTTGTAAATATTCATAGGCAAGTTTTTGGAAGGTAGACGTGGGGTACTGACGATACCACCATATTTTCCAGAATTTCTTTTGGATTATCTATATAGATAAAAAAGAGCATATTCTGCCCTGATTTATATTAACCCATTTACAATTCATTTCAATGGCAGTTGAATGTGTATATTTGAGGACAGAGTTGTGTACTAAATTCCAATCAGTTCCACTTGTGGAAAGTCATTGAAGGCGTGGCACTGTTTTGTAGCGTTTCCGAGCTACTACAGAAAGTCCAATTTTGGACATTTCTCCTCCTCAGTTCTGAGCCCTATACTCTCTATATACTGATCTAAAAGAGACAGTTGGCCTGAATTAGTGCTGTTTGGCTAGAAATTCCACAGGGTTTCTAATGCATGCAATAATACAGTGTTACTATTCTCCATTCTAACATATTGTGCTTTGCTATGATGTATACTTTTTTCTCCTTGTCAATATCCTTACTTTTACTGACATTTCTTTGTTTTTTAACTATAATTGTCCTGATACTAGAACTGAGTTACTGTTTCAGCCTTTAAAATATATGTTTCCAGCCTAATGCTACTGGAGAACAGAAAACAAAACCTACACAGAACAGTGTTCGAGCGCTGAGAGGCCTAGGTTTGTCTCCAGATCTGGTGAGTTCTTAGGGTTATGATAAAATCTGTGTTTATAGGTCATCTAGATATATTGGTACATGTAAATAATTCAAAGCATAAGGCTCCAGTTCTTTCTACTCTGAAAGGGAATCTGTCTTAGGCCAAGTCTCCACTAGAAAATTAAGTTGGTTTAACTTCGCGCAGGGGTATGAAAAGCCCACATCTCTGAGTGGTGTATTTAAGCTGACCTAACGCATGGTATAGACAGTGCTATGTCAATGGAAGAATTCTTCTGTTGACCTAGCTACCACCTATCGGGGAGGTGGATTACCTATGCCAATGAGAGAATACTTCCCGTTGTCAGAAGTAGTGTCTACTTTGAAGTGGTACAGCAGTGCAGCTGCAGTGGTGCAGCTGTGCTGCTGTAATATTTCAAGTGTAGACAAGCCCTTATGAGGGAGGGGAAGGAAGCAACTTGGACCATACCAGTGTACTAAAAACCAAAGAAATTAAACTACAAAAGTGTACTGAATGTCAATATACTTTTATCCCTTAAATATCATGGGATTCTAGCTATGCTCTTCCCATTAAAGAGTCTTATAGCAAAATCTCTATATATGGCTTTAAAAATCTAGAGTTAAGGTTGGATCTATTCTGAGAGGAATGTGTGGCTGTATCATCAGTTTTACTAATGAATTCAGAAAAATAATCCATCATTTGAAAATATGTATCCAATTAAAATATGAATGTTCAGACAAACAATTTAACTATAAAATGTGTGAATGAATGTGCAAAGGTGTCGGATTATTTCCTCAGCCTGGCCACCTGTATCACAGATGAAGCATGGGATGGAAAACAGGCTACAAAGAGCCACTGTATCCCTCCCCATGCAGGAGATGCCAGCACACTAACTAGCAAAGATATGCTTGTTTTCCAAATAAAATATGCTGCACTGCGTAGAAGCCTGTCATGGAGTACTTTGTCTTTGGAGCAGAGGGGAGACAGATTGCAATGATCTGAGCCAGAATCTGCTTCCTGGTCTGCTCTAGTAGCAGCCCTTTGCTTGGGGCTTTGGCCAAACCATAATATAGTTCTAAGGGCTCAGCTCTGCAAGGTGCTGGGCATTCCCTTAATGTCCTGAGCTCCCTCCCTCCACTGACTCTGTTGGGAGTTGAAGCTGTTTAGCACTTCACAGGAGTGTGTAGTATCTTGCAGTATCAAGCCCCTAGTAAGATATACAACTCTGCTGTTTGGTATAATTATGTTGTTATACAATGACAATGTACACAAGTAAATATTATGTTCTGCCTTTCTTTTGTAAATTTTCTTTTTCCTGAACCTTTCCAAGAGATATAACTTCTTAGTCCATATGTTCTTTTGGTTAAATGCTACTGCTTCAGCCATAAAATATATCCTCGTATTCCGAATACCAATTAAGTGTAATTTGGTAGAACAAAGTTATTGAATTTTGTTCCTATCACAGGTAAATCAATAATCTCACTAATGAACACTGCAAAATTAATTAATCTGCCAGCACTTTGAAAGCCTGGCTCTTCGTGCCTTTCCCAGACAGAACTCCCATGGAGTGTTCCGGCTATCAACATTGTACTTGTGGCAGACTTGCTAAACTTTGCCAATTTTCTTTTCTAAAATCCAATAAATAAAAATGCACTTTCCGATTACCTTAATTTCTACAAATTAGAAGCCTCCTATCCAGCAGTGAGTGCCTCATAAAAGAAATGAATATCTTTTTTATAACTCATTAAACTAAATATGTTTTGGTGGTTCATTATAAAAATGTTAATATTTGTATGTGTGGGGGAATCAGTTGTCCATACTAACTATAACAAATTTTAAAATTATATCTCATACATCACCTGAATGGTTTAAATGTGGTAAGACTGAATACTGTTTGTTAAAAAAAAATTAAAATACTGTCTATTTTCTGAAACAAAGGAAGAAATGTAAGATGCAAAAAAACAAAAACAAACCAACCCCAAAGAAAACACACACTGGCAAATTCCAAAATTTAAGAGTAATCTTTAAAAACAACAGTTGAGTCTAAGTCACAGTGAATTCACCTCTACGTATAATAAACAAACACATTAGTGTTATCAAGAATAAAAAAATAACTATATAATTATCACCCAGCAACCCTAATGCTTACTCAAAATAAATACTGTTCTGTCATTAGGAAACTCGAAAAATAAACAGTATGATACAGTTTTGAAAAGGAAACAATTCTCTGTGTACACTTTAATGATCCATATCAATAAGCCTGTAATGCAAGGCTACCTGCTTAATTTTATCATACATTAATAACATTACATAATTTTCATATTAAACTACATACACATTACTATCAAGAAAAAAGCAATTATAGGCACTGTACCAGTTTTTTTTTACTGTTAATGGATAAATATATTAACCAATATTTCCCATTTTAAAATATCTATTAAAAAAATATTTAGCTACTGAAATCAAGATAATAAAAATACATGAGTCAAATGTATAAATAAAAAAAGTCAAACAATCCATAGGTAAGATTTATTACCTTAGCTACTCATTTCTTTGCTTTATTTCAGTTTTCACTATTAAAAAAAAACAACAGTGCCTATATTTTCACTGTAGGCTGTCTTAACATCCATTAGAATTCAGTTATCAAAATCCCTTCATCATAACTGCAACATTATCAGTTTTGTAAAGGACATGAGAGGTAACCACACTGTTGTGACTTAGTAACCTTAACTGTTTTTTGACGCAAAGTTTTCACTCGTACCCAATAATTTAAGATTTAGGGCCTAAATTTCAAACTCTGTGGCATGCAATTAACTTCAGACACAAAATGGGCACCTGATTTCTGGAGACAGTTAAAGTAATTGCCTGTGCCTTATTTTGAAAATTAGACTTTTAAAAACTATTGATTTTTGAGTGTGGAATGAAAGGAAAACAGATTAATGTAGTCACTTTCCCATATCCTGAGTTTAGGCTTAAGAACAATAATTTTCCTACTATCTGTAGCTGTTGACCACTCAAACAGAGGGAGTAGTCGTCTTCTTCTAAGCTAAAGAGCTTTGAAAAATGTCTGTCTGCATGCACAATGTCTATACATCCAAGGGACTCTCTCATGACATCTTGAAAAATTATATCTTGTCTGGTTGCCAATGCTGCCCCCTTGAATTATATAATTCCTACTGTGCACCTGTATTTTATTGTTTTGGAAATATAAACCAGACGTTGTTACTATAGTTTTTTTTATTTCCTGCTATTGCTGATGCATTTAACTTTTATGACTCCATTAGCAATAATTTTACCGCAGCATGCAGAGAACCCTTAACTCCTGGTGTCACCCACTTGGAAGCTGAGTGTTAAGAATTATAGACTTCTCTGTAATGTCTTGAACACACATTGTCATGGCTGATAAAGCCTTTCTCCAAGACAGTAGTCCATTTTTAAGTGTAACTGGATATTCACCCACATTTAGATAAAGGGAATTTAAAAATTACTTGCATAATTCTTCTTTAATGATTAGAACTTGCACTAGTTCTTTTTTTATGTCTGGCATTACATTTTTCCATACTGGAGTACCTATTTTGAGGGTAGGGGAAATAAAATTCAGTTGGTATGTATTCTTTTACTTAGCAAAGTGATCAAGGAATAAGAGCAAGTTTACTGAACAAAAAAGCTTTTAAAAATATAATCAGCACTTGCACACAAACAAATCAGAAACAGGCGGGAAAGGCATTCTGTGTTTTTATAGTGGCTGACATCATGGGGACTAGGGCTCCTATGTGCTATGGTAACATAAATAATAATTGAGAAATGAATCGCTTAGCATCTGTCCTGGAAAAAAAAATCCTCGTTGGTAAAAATTACAAATATTTCCACAAATTCCCAAATGTCCTGCTTTCAGCACAAAGGATTCACAGATATAAATACATCAGAAAAAGGGAATTGGAAAGTTAGAAAAGAAAAGAAACTCCTCTCTTTGGTCTATCGATCTTCTCTTCCAGGGACTCAGATCAGCTTCCAGGTCCACTGGGCAGCAGTCAGGTGAATTACAAACAAACCAAAATGTACCGTTAAGGTACTTGAAAGATAAAGAAAGTATGTAAATAAACAAAGGATAACTGAAAAAAACACAATAAACTTGGTGATAATGTATCACACTTTTGACTCTCCTTATTCTTTGCTCTTTGGTGTGTTACTTAAACGGTATCTGAAGATTAAATGAGTAAAGCATGAAAGAATAAAGAGTAGGGTCAGGAAAAAGTGGGGAATTGAGGAGGAGGGGAGAGAAGTAGCGTTGCAAGCAGAGGAAGCAATGGAAATATAAAAAGTAGAAAACAGGAAAGTAGGTGAATAAAGGTATAGATATGTTGGTGGAGATCTGATGTAGCTATCTCTTGTTAAATGGTATTATGATGGGTTGGATCACAGAAACCCCCTTGGGAACTGCCAATTGATGTGCCAAGACTACTTCTGCCCGTGCTTTCCTGCCCTGGCAGCTTAGGACTTCAGAGCCCTGCCTGGTTTGAGCCAGACCCGCTAGCCTGCTGCAAACCCAGACCCAGGGTCTGAACCATGTCCCCTAACAGCTGTAGGCTTAACTGAAAGCAACTTACAGAAGTGTCCCTGTCTTTAACACCCAGATGTCCAACTCCCAATGGGGTCCAAACCCCAAATAAATACATTTTACTCTGTATAAAGCTTGTACAGGGTAAACTCATAAATTGTTTGCCCTCTATAACACTGATAGAGAGATATGCACAGCTGTTTGCCCCCCTCCCCCAGGTATTAATACATATTCTGGGTTAATTAAGAAGTAAAAAATGATTTTATTAAATACAGAAAGTAGGATTTAAGTGGTCCCAAGTAGTAATAGACAGAACAAAGTGAATTACCAAGTGAAATAAAATAAAACATGCAAATCTAAGCCTAATACAGTCATACAATTGAGTACAGATAAAATCTCACCCTGAGAGATGTTTCAATAAGTCTCTTTCACAGACTGGACACCTTTCTAGTCTGGGCACAGTCCTTTCCCCTGGTACAGCCCTTGTTCCAGCTCAGGTGGTAGCTAGGGGATTCCTCATGATGGCTGCCCCTTTTGTTCTGTTCCACCCATTTATATATCTTTTGCATAAGGTGGGAATCCTTTGTCCCTCTCTGGGTTCCCATCCCCTCCTTCTCCATGGAAAAGCACCAGGTTAAAGATGGATTTCAGTTCAGGTGACATGATCACATGTCACTATAAGCCTTCATTACTCACTTGCCAGCACACAGGTATACAGGAAGACTTGCAAGTAAAACAGAGCCATCTACAGACAATTGTCATCAAGATGGGAGTCATCAAGATTCCAAACCACCATTAATGGCCCACACTTTGCATAATTACAATAGGCCCTCAGAGTTATATTTCATATTTCTAGTTTCAGATACAAGAGTGATACATTTATACAAATAGGATGATCACACTCAGTAGATTATAAGCTTTGTAATGATACCTTACAAGAGACCTTTTGCATGAAGCATATTACAGTTACGTTATATTTAAACTCATTAGCATATTTTCATAAAATATAAAGAGTGCAACGTCACAGGTATTTATGTGACTTATGATATATTGTAGAACTCCCAGGAAAAAATTATTTGTCCAGGCTGTTGTTTCTTGAGAGGTCAATCTTTTCCATGATTAATGTTGAGGAGCTTTCATTTACTTAGTTTTTTCCTATCGTGTTTTTCCACACTTCTTATTTATGTTTTATATATGATGTATTTTGACAGATAGTCTGCAGAAGTACAAAGCCTATAGAAATGGCTGTGAAGGAAAAGATTTCCATGTTTTGCCATGTGGAACCTGAACAGGTTTGTAGTTTGACTTCATCTCTCTTTTTCTCAAAGTATACAATTCTGATTTTTCAGATTGCAGATTATACAGCTTAAATATCTGAATGTATTTCTGTTTTTAATCTCCAAGAAATACTTGTTTCAATAATACACCGATTTTTAAATTGCAAGTAATTATATGATGAAATATAAAATAGACAATATATAAAATATAAACTACTCAAAGTTACTGGATATTGTTTACATGTTAATTTTGATATGTCAAATAGCCTTTAATAATTTGGTCACACTTACTACAAAGGATCCAATTATAGATTGTTTATAAAGGGTTAAGAATTAATAGATTTTTGAATACATGTTTAATCAGTTGTTATAAATTGTTAGAACAATACTTCAGAAGGTTGCTTGAAACCATGGTTTATAATAATCTATAACAGGTTTTACCGATGCATCTATAACCATGTGTAGCATCCTCTTTATGTCTCTAATGTACATATACAATTTACATCAGTTATTAATCCTCTGTAAACTTTTTATAACAGCACCATTAACAGTGACTAAATTGTCAATGGCTCTTCAATACACCAAAATGAACATGCAAATACTATCCAATATTAAAGCTTTTACATGTTAACAAGCATAATAGATTCATATATGGCTCATGTAGACACCACAATTCTTTTGAGTGTGTCAGTGTGGCTCACATTGTAGGTGCGCATGCACTTGATGCATATGAGACTGGAGTTTGTTTGAATAGCCGTGTTGGTCGGAGCCATGCATGCGCCCAGTGCTGCCTCATGAGAGCATAAGGGCCAGTGTGGCCACAACCCTCCCTCAGTTCCTGCTTACCACTCATGGCCCACACTTCTGCTCCAGAAGGGAGGGAGTCAGACGAGGCCCATTACTAGACGCCTTGATTCTTCGATGGCCTTGAGGACCTCTATATGCCTGTCTGCCGATTCCTCTGATTCCCAGGGGAATATTCAAGATTAGATGTGACAAGGCTGCGATCATCCCGATAGCCTCTTACTGGATGAGACAGTTCTGGTGTCAGATCTATTGTAGATGTCCAAAGTGGCCTCTGTGCCAGCTCCTAACCTGCCTAAACATATCATCTTAGAACCAAGGTCAGATACTGCACCCAGACTCTCAGTCATAGCACCTGATAGCTTGGTGGTCGGCTGGTTGAGCACTGCTTGCAGAGACTGCTCCCTATGATTCAAGAAATTCTCAGACAGAGCTGGAAACTTTCCACCATGAAGACTTACGTCCCGAAATGGAAAAGATTTTCTGTGTGGGAAGCCCAAAACAATATGGACCCAATTGAGGACCTGGCACTGAAGTTCCTCAACTATATGTTGCTCCTGAAGCATGCAGCACAAGCATTTTACACTCTCAGGTTTCACCTTGCAGCAATATTGGTGTGCCATAATCTGGTACAGTCATACTCTAACTTCTCATATCTGACGGTATTGAAATTCCTCCAGGGCCTCCTTGATACTTAAGCTCTGATTAGACAGCAACGACTATGTGGGACCTCAGCATTATCCGCCTAAAAACTCATGGAGCCTCCTTTTAAAACACTGTTGGATTGCTCATTACACCACCTACCATCAAGATGGTGTCTCTGGTGGCCATCCCTTAGTGCAGAGGGTCTGTGAGTTCTAAGCCCTCATAGCTGGACTGCCTTTCACATCCTGCCATAGTGATAAAGTGGTGTTGAGATCACACCCCAATTTCATCCCTAAAGGAGTCTTAGAATTTCACCTGAACCAGTCAGTCACCTTACCAGTCTTCTTCTCAAAGCCGCATTCGACTCTGGGAGAAAAGAAGCTGTATACTAGGATGTATCCAGAGCTTTGTTCAGTGACCTTAACAGGATCAAGCCTTTCAGGCTGAATCCAAACCTCTGGACATTTCTGGCCCATCAAAAGGACAAGCCATCTTGTCACAGAGACTCTCTAAGTCAGTGGTTCCCAAACTGGGGTTCGTGAAATGTTGTAGGGGGTTCTTGGGGGAAAAAATTCCCTAATGGCGGACAGAGCTGTCTCTAGGGAGAATGGGACCAGAAGCCCGGAGCCCCTGGACTTCCAAGAGCTAAGCAGATCAAAGCAAGCATCTCTATCACACTGAGGAGATTTAAACTTCAAGACTCCTGATAAGAAATGGAAAGGGAGGTGGATATTTTTTGCTGTTTTTAAAATTAAATAGGCAGCTAGTATTGTTTTTAAAATTATTATGAAGAAGAAGTTTAAGCTTTGTTTTAACATACATTGTTTGCCTGGACTGCTCAAGACCTGAATGCTTGTGTAGAAGGAACACTTTGAGTTGGCTTCTTAAATACCTTCATTCTGTTTCACATCTGACACTCCTTGATGAAACATAGGAGCCTTGTCTTATAACAGGCTTATTCAGAGCGATACAAGCTACGAAAGTGAGATCTTGGAAGAGTGTTGCCGTTTTCATAATGTAATAAAAATACTGTAATGATAAATAATAATTAATAATAAATAGTATGTAATAAGCATGTCATTAAAAAAATTTATATTTCCAAGATCACTCCTTTTATAATTTATACTCAGGTAAAGGAGAAAATCTCTGGAAATATTCATTTTTAGGAGGGGTTTCGTGAGACTTGACATTTTAGTGAAAGGGGTCACAGGTTGTTAAAGTTTGGGAGCCACTGCTCTAAGTGGATAACAAAGTTCATTTCCGCCTGCTATCAGATGGTTGATGAGTCTCTCTCTCCCAACTTCAAGAAGCACTCCACTTGGGCAAAGGCAGCAAGTGTCCAGCGCCTGTTTCAGTCTCTCAGATCTGTCAGGCTGCAGCCTGAAGCAACCCACTGGCTTTTGTTTAAATATTATATCCTTGACATGGCTGCCAGATCCCAACTTTGGGAGAGGAATGCTTCAATTACTGTTTGACTGATACAACAAGGAATCTGGTGGCACCTTAAAGACTAACAGATTTATTTGGGCATAAGCTTTCGTGGGTAAAAACCTCACTTTCTTCAAATGCATAGAGTGACTCATGTAGTGAAGAAGTGAGGTTTTTACCCACGAAAGCTTATGCCCAAATAAATCTGTCAGTCGTTAAGGTGCCACCAGACTCACTCTATGCATCTGAAGAAGTGAGGTTTTTACCCACGAAAGCTTATGCCCAAATAAATCTGTTAGTCTTTAAGGTGCCACCAGACTCCTTGTTGTTTTTGTAGATACAGACTAACACGGCTACCCCCTGATGTTTGACTGATGCAGCTGAAACTTCTCACTCCTACCGTCCAGAGAGGTCACTGCTTGCCAGTCATCTACAGCGGGCTCCACACTGACACATAGTCACAGGAGAAAGAATGGTTATTTACCCAACAGTAACAGTGGTTCTTTGAGATGCCTTCAATGTGGATGCCACGACCTGCCCTCCATCCCTTCTTTTTGGAGTCCCTGGCTAATACAAACTTTGAATTGTGAGGGAACTGAGGGAGGGTTGCAGTTGCCCCAACCTTTGGGTCGTTGTATGGGTACACAAGAAAGCACAGAGTGCAGGCACAGCCCTGATGGACACAGCTAGTCAAAAAACTCCACTATCCCATGCATGAGACACATGCCCACCTAAAGTGAGATCTACACTGACTTGAAGAACCACAGTTACTGTGGGGTAAGTAGCCATTCCTTATCAAGTAGATCTCCATACATGACATCAAGAAAGGACATATAAATTCATACTCAGGACTTCAGATTCCACAATTTCCTGCAGGCTAAATGTAGTGAGCTTAATTAGTGACAGTGGGTTCACACTTTATATTGAGGGTACATTTATAAATATATTTTTGAATTGGAACGTCTTCCATTTGATTGCATAATATAGTGTGGTTAAGAAAACCCTCCATTATTGGAAACACCATTCACTCTTTAGGCCCCCAGTAGAAAGCTTTTCTTTGCAAATAGGAAGCAGGCTCCATTCATGTTCTTTCTTCCGGTAATAAAATATACTACAATGTTTGTTTGTTAAAAAGGAAAACCAACTTATCTCTGTGACTTTTTGTGGGGCCTCACATATAAACAGATCTTAGTATTAATATTTTAAAACACACTAGATATGTTTACATCCGGAACGCACAAATGCATCCAGATTCTGCAAATACACGTGAGTAGCAACATTGACCTCAATGGCGCTACTCACATGTATGTTCATAGGACTGAGGCCAGTGTCACAGTGAAGCATTTTCTTCAGTGCCTAGCACAGTCCTGGTTCATGCCTAGGCCTCCTAGGTGTTATGGTAATACAAATAATTAATAATAATGATATATAGCTTGTCCACTACTCTGGTGGGCTAAAGAAGGGAAACGTTGAGGGAATCCTCATCTTTATACTTTAAATAGCTTTTCTTTACAGATAAGTGATTGAGAGGGACATTAAGCATTGATTATGTTGTTTTATCTAATTTTAGTATATGGGCAAAGTATATGTATTGAATTACATTTGTTCTGTAGGTATGAATCTCCTTAGCTTTTATATTTCGTATCCAAGTACACCTCTACCCCGATATAATGCGACCCGATATAACACGAATTCTGATATAACGCGGTAAAGCAGCGCTCCGGGGTGGAGGGGCGGGGCTGCGCACTCTGGCGGTTCAAAGCAAGTTCGACATAACGCGGTTTCACTTATAACGTGGTAAGATTTTTTTGGCTTCCAAGGACAGCGTTATATCGGGGTACAGGTGTATTTAGAAGACCAATTTTTGTACATAATCACAATTTATTTACTAGGTGATATTTATCCATGATGTTTCTTCCACTTACCGAGTGCCAGTCCTGTTGGAAGAACAAGGCATTATTACATATTTTAAACAGAGATTAAACCTACCTATTGATGACCAACCAAGTGATCTTCTTTTCAAATGGAAGAAAATGGCAGACAGGTATTGTAACTCCTATTATGTTTTCTCAAAGTTTTTAAATCATTATGAATATAAGACTCTGGGTCAGGTCCTCAGTTGGCATAAAGTGTTATAGTTCCACTGTAGTCAGTGTAACGACGCTGACTTATGCCTGCGGAGGCTCTGGCCTTCTGTGTTTAAAAATGTGTATGTTTTTTTAAAATGGGGTATTTTATGATCTTATTTTTAGAAAAGAAACATTTGTTAGAATTAGAGCTGTCAAGCAATTAAAAAATTAATCATGATTAATTGCACTGTTAATAATAGAATACCATTTATTTAAATATTTTGGATGCTTTCTACATTTTCAAATATATTGATTTCAATTACAACACAGAATACAAAGTATACAGTGCTCACTTTATATTTATATTTGATTACAAGTATTTGCATTGTAAAAAAACAAAAGAAATAGTATTTTTCAGTTCACCTAATACAAGTACTGTAGTGCAATCTCTTTATCATGAAAGTTGAACTTACAAATGTAGAATCATGTAAAAAAACCTGCATTCAAAAATAAAACAATGTAAAACTTTGCATGTTCTGCAAGTACAATCAGTCCTACTTCTTGTTCAGCCAATCGCTCAGATAAACAAGTTTGTTTACATTTGCAGGAGATAATGCTGCCTGCTTCTTATTTACAATGTCACCTGAAAGTGAGAATGGGCTTTCTCATGGCACTGCTGTTGCCGGCTTTGCAAGATATTTATATGCCAGATGCGCTAAAGATTCATATATCCCTTCATGCTTCAACCACCATTCAGGGGACATGCGTCCATGCTGATGATGGGTTCTGCTCGATAACAATACAAAGCAATGAGGACCGATGCATGTTCCTTTTCATCATCTGAGTCAGATGCCACCAGCAGAAGGTTGATTTTCTTTTTTGGTGGTTCAGGTTCTGTAGTTTCCGCATCAGAGTGTTGCTCTTCTAAGACTTCTGACAGCATGCTCCACACCTCATCCCTCTCAGATTTTGGAAGGCTCTTCAGATTCTTAAACCTTGAGTTGAGTGCTGTACCTTCTTTGCGTGTCCTCTGGAATGGTGGCGGAAGCATGAAGGGGCATACGAATGTTTAGCATATTTGGCATGTAAATACCTTGCAATGCTGGCTACAAAAGTGCCGTGCAAATGCCCGTTCTCACTTTCAGGTGACATTGTAAATAAGAAGAGGGCAGCATTATCTCCTGTAAATGTAAACAAACTTGTTTGTCTTAATGATTGGCTGAACAAGAAGTAGGACTGAGTGGACTTCTAGGTTCTAAAGTTTTGCATTGTTTTGTTTTTGAGTGCTGTTATGTAACAAAAAAAAATCTACATTTGTAAGTTGCACTTTTACGACAAAGAGATTGCACTACTTTATTAGGTGAATTGAAAAATACTATTTCTTTGATCATTTTTACAGTTCAGATATTTGTAATAAAAAATAATATACACTTTGATTTCAATTACAATACAGAATACAATATATATTACTCCTGATGGCATTCTGCACCAAAAAATTTAAAATTCTGCGCCCAATATTTTAAAATTCTGCAAAATTCTGCAAATTTTATTTATCAAATAAATGTGGAGGCGCCAGCATGGCACTGGGGAGCACAGGTCACTGGCTGCACAGAGGTGGGAGATCACTGCACCCAACCCTGATAAAGTGCAAGGACCGGGCCTGCCCCAGAGACGCCTCAGAGCCCTGCCCCTCCGTGCCAGGTGCACCAGGTGTGGGAAGGCAGACTCAGCAAAACAGGATCCAAGCGTGGAGAGGCTTAGTGTGGGGGGGATCCAGGTGTGGGTTGAGAGGTTCTGCGTGGGGCAATCTGAGTGCAGGTGGCTCAGTGGGGGATCCGGGTGCGAGGGTGGGATCTGGATGCACAGGGACTTGTTGGTGGGTTCTGGGTGCAATGGTAATGGGACTCTGCAGCGGGATCCCAGTGAAGGTGGTTGGGGCTCAGCGGGGGGGGTCTGAGTGTGGGTGGGGATAGAGCTCAGCAGGGGGGTCTGGGCGGGGCTTGGTAGGTGGGGATCTGGATGCAGGTTGCTCATTGGGGTGGTCCAGGTGCAGGGGGAGTGGGGTTCGTCGGGGGGCTTCTGGGTGCAGAGGGGATGAGGCTCGGCAGGAGCTTCGGGTATGAGGGGGTCTGGATGCATGGGGGTTGTACGGATGGGGGAGCAGCTCCCTGCACAACGATCCCTCCCCCTGCAGCTGAGGAACGATGGGTGCAGGAAGTGCTGGGAGTGGGGGGTGGGGTGGGACTTTGCAGAGCTTCCTATAGCTGGGGGAGAAATCTGGGAGTGGGTCTGACCCAGCCCCGGTTGCCATGCAGGGGAAGAGGAAGTCCCGTCCTCCCCAGGACTAGTAGCTGAGCCCAGTGCAGGGTAGGAGCCACCTGCCACGTCTTCCCCAGTCCCGCTCCTACCCCACAGTGATTTACCTCTCTGCCGGCTACCCTGGGCACTCAAAACATACTGCTGGGAAGGGTCGCATGACCGCTTTTGTGGCTTCCCTTTGCTTCCCTGTCAGACAGTTATTTTTCCGCAAGAAAACAAAGAAATCTGCAGGGGACATAAATTCTGCACATGCGCAGTGGCGCATAATTCCCCCAGGAGTAAGATATGAAAATGTAGAAAAACATTCAAAATATTTAATAAATTTCAATTGTTATTCTATTGTTTCACTGTGTGATAAAAACTGTGATTAATCTTGATTAATTTTTTTAATCACAATTTTTTTAAGTTAATCACATGAGTTAACTGCGATTAATCAACAGCCTTCGTTAGAATGCATAATATGAGCATAATAATTAGAAACCTTGCTTTTGTCAGATATGAAAGGTTGCAGAAGATGTGCTCCATAGCTCTGGTTGGCAAGTATACGAAACTAAGTGACTGCTACGCATCTGTTTTCAAGGCCTTGGAACATTCAGCTTTGGCAATTAATCACAAACTGAATTTAATGGTGAGGATCAATCTCTCTCAGTTTCAGGAATGTTTTAACATGTAATGGTTAGCTTCCATCGCTTAGGCAAATGTAATATTAAAGTGTACCTTAATTGGGACTTATATATACAGGTGTACACAAAATGACTGGATATGGTTTTTTAAGGAGTATGAGAGATTTCATTTTTATTTTATTTTAGACTAAATATATCTGAAAGGGACACTGCAATAAAGGCCCCTAATTGGATTTGTTTTACAAACAAGGACATTCATCTGCAAGTGCTTACTACCAAAGGAGGTGCTTGTTGATTTTAATAAGACTACATGCAGCATCAAGCATTACCCTTTGTAGTAACCGTTTGCAGTATGGAGCTCAAAATTGGAAAAATATTATACTCTTTGAAAAAAATTCAAAATGATGTTGGCAGATTGGAGAATTAGCCTGAAACCAACAAGATGAAATTCAATAAAGACAAATGCAAAGTACTACATTTTAGAAAGGAAAAATGAAATGCACAAGTAAAAAATGGGGATAACTACTGCTGAAAAGGATCTGGGGGTTACAGTGGATCACAAATTGAATATGAGCCAACAATGTGATGTAGCTGCAAAAAAGGCTAATACTGACAGGAATTTCATATGTAAGACACGGGAGGTAATTGTCCTGCTCTACTGGTGAGGCCTCAGCTGGAGTAATACTTCCATTTCTGGGCATCATACTTTAAGAAAGATGTAGACATATTGGAAAGAGTCCAGAGGAGAGCAACAAAAATGATCAAAGGTTTTGAAAAACCTGACCTATGAGGAAAGGTTAAAAAAACTCAGAACATTTAGTTTTGAGAAAAGATGACTGAGGTGGGACCTGATAACAGGCTTCAAATATGTTCAGAGTTGTTATAAAGAGGAAGAGGATCGGTTGTTCTTTGAGTGTTTGCTCATGTCCATTCCATGTTAGGTGTGTGCTCACCATATGCACTGTTGCTGGAGTTATTTCTCTCAGTGGTATCCATTGGGCTGGCTCTAGTGCCCCCTGGAGCCATGCATTTATAAGAGGTGCCGGCAGCCCCAGAGCCTCTCAGTTCCTTCTTACCATGCATGATGGTTGCTGGAACATGTTTTGCTTCGGAAAGGCGTTCTTCTCTATGGTTCTTACTCTGTTTTATAGTTTGTTAGTCTTAAGTATAGTTATAGTGTATATATTGTAAATAGTGAAAGGTAGATAGAACCCCATCTCCATATCTTCACCCACGGGGCTGGGCGTGCCTTGGTCCCGGTGCTTCAACCTTGTGCCTCCTGTGGCAAGCCTATGCCCATGAGCGACCCGCACTTCAGTTGTCTGAAGTGTTTGGGAGAATCTCATGTGAGAGACCAGTGTCAAATTTGTCAGGACTTTAAATCCCAGTGTGGGTGGTTGGACTAGATGACCTCTCGAAGTCCCTCCCAGCTCTACATTTCTATAATGCTATGATAAATAGAACTTGAATTTCTGTTTAACATTTAGGGCAAGATTCTGATACCCTTACTCACATTGAGTAATACCTTTCTCCATGAGTAATCCCATTTATATCAATAGGATTATACATGGAGCAAGGTGCTACTCAGTGTGAATTTATCAGAATTTGGCCCTTTTTTTTTACATACTTTAAAGGAAGTGGTCAATTTAAGGAACATTTCAGAAACTAACTTGTTCTTACTTTTTAAACTGGGAGGTTGCAGTAATCTTCAAAGTGTGATACCAACTGTTTTTATAGTGAAACTTTCTGCTTCTGTTGCCAAGTTTCACCTCTAGAGATAGCAACGTCTGGCTTGGGAAGGTGGTGTGGAGGAGTATGTTAATATTAGTTTATGAATACAGATGAAATTTTAACAGCTTGTGATTTAGCAAAACACTATGAATCTGAGTTTGCAGAGAAAAATATAGTATCAGAAATGACACAGTGCTGCAGTACATGGTCTCTAAGTGACTTTAGATAAATTGGTGAGAACAGGCAATCCTGAGCTAGATTGCACCTGATTTTTGTGTGTCTGGGAGGGTGCAAAGAGTATTTCTCTCCCTCTTGAATCACAGTCCCTGTGCCCTCTCTAGTGCTGTCAGGAGCGTAAGCTCTTCCAGAGGAGGTGGAGAGAGGATGAGGCACAGGCATGTTTCCATCACTCCTCACTGGCCCCTGGAGCAGGCCAAATGTTCTTCTTAAAGTTAAGCACATGCTTCTTAAAGTTAAGTACTGTCCTGAATAGAGCCATAGTCTAGCTTCAGATGTATAATGGTGAAAGCAAGAGTTTTGAGTTTGCTCAGCAACTACTATAAATTAACTGCTTCACATTGAAATTATAACACTGAAATAATGTTTTAGCTGAAATGTATTGAATACTTATTCATTTATTAATGACCGTCTTTTATAGCTTGGTAAATATAAAGTGAAAAATCAGAGGCCTTTTACACACCCCTGAGCGACAGAAGTTATACCGCAGTAAGTGCTAGTGTAGACATAGTCTTAGTCTGCGTATAACAAAAGAGACTTTTATTAAAAGGGAAAGGGAACCAAGCATTAGTTTGGGAAAATTTCACAACCACATTCAAAAGCATGTGACCATAATGGACCCTGACCCCACAGCACATTCTGCTTCAGTTTCCCACCTTGCAGTGGGAAAGTCTGACGAACAAATGTCCCTTTAACAGATCACTCCCCTCTTCCTCCGCTGCATCCCACTCACAGTTGGCTGTCCTTGTCAGCAAAGACCCAGAGTTCAGAGGGGTTCACCTCTGACTCCAGAAAGGGGGTGGGCCATCAAGCAATGACTCTGCGGTCACTGTGCGCCTCTGCAGCTGGCTGTTTGCCGCTGCCTCTGCTGCTTTTCTCTTGCTGCCATTGGTCATGTGTTGCCACTATTGGACAGTCATTCCTACTTCTGCCATCCCATGTTATGAGGTTCTACCTCTTAACCCAGCTCTTTAGCCTCTGCACTGTCCCTATACCAGGTCTAAGACCTAGCCCCTAGACCTGCTTAACAGTGAGTCTGCTGTGGTAATCACTGAACCAAAACAGGTTTCAGAGGGGTAGCCATGTTAATATGTATCAGCAGAAACAACAAGGAATCCTTGTGGCACCTTAGAGACTAACAAATGTATTTGGGCATAAGCTTTCGTGGGCTAAAACCCACTTCATCAGATGCATGGAGTGAAAAATATGGTAAGCAGTATATATATATATATATATTACAGCACATGAAAAGATAGGAGTTGCTTTACCAAGTGGAGGGTCAGTGCTAACGAGGCCAATTCAGTTAAGGAGGAAGTGGCCTATTCTCAACAGTTGACAAGAAGGGGTGAATATCAACAGAGGGAAAATTACTTTTGTAGTGCTAATGAGGCCAATGCAATCAAGGTGGACGTCGCCCATTCCCAACAGTTGACAAGAAGGTGTGAGTATCAACAGAGGGAAAATTACTTTTGGTAGTGACCCATCCACTCCCAGTCTTTATTCAGGCCTAATTTGGTGGTGTCCAGTTTGCAAATTAATTCCAGTTCTGCAGTTTCTCGTTGAAGTCTGTTTTTGAAGTTTTTTTGTTGAAGAATTGCCACTTTTAATTCTGTTATTGAGTGTCCAGGGAGATTTTGCATAGAGACTGTCCGGTTTGGCCAATGTACATGGCAGAGGGGCATTGCTGGCACATGATGGCATATATCACATTGGTAGATGTGCAGGTGAACGAGCCCCTGATGGTGTGGCTGATGTGGTTGTACCTTGAATAGGTATGTGGACAGATTTGTCAACGGGGTTTGTTGAAGGGATTGGTTCCTGGGTTAGTGTTTTTGTTGTGTGGTGTGTAGTTGCTGGTGAGTATTTGCTTCAGGTTGGGGGGCTGTCTAAGTGAGGACTGGCCTGTCTCCCAAGGTCTGTGAGAGTGAGGGAATGACTCTCAACTGAGTCTAATTAGTTCTGTCCTTAAACACTGGAGTAGGAAAGGTCAAATGGTTTCTAGAACTCTTTAGATAGAGTCCAAATCCTTTCTCTTCTTCACTGGGATTTGGCACCCCTACCCCCTACTTAGTGAGTGAGGTTCAGTTTAGGGTGACCCCTCAATCAGGGCAGGCTAAGCACAGTTCTGCTGTCCTTTACTCATACAGTAAGGACAGCAACATTTCATTACCATTATTGTGGCTGAGAGAGGTGCTCATCTACTATAGTTATGGGTTAAATAGAAATACATAGCTGGATAGATAGAACTTGCCTATATTGTTATTGTCCCTAGACGATTTGTTCTTAGAATTTAATATCTGTATATTGACTATTGCAGATATAAAATCCTTTTTTTTTAAACTTGAATTTTTTCTTCAACAAACCAAATTTTGGAAGAAAAACGGCTTGTGCATCAGCAGTACCCAGTTTACAGATATTAAATTCACCCCTCTAATTAAAAAAAAAAGTATATCTATAGGGGCCTAATCTTTGTAATGAACCACATGCCAATGCTCATTTGAGAACACAGCTGTTTTTGAGCTGCAGAATTACGAAATAGCATCCCAAACAGGTAAACATTTTTTGCACTTCCTATTTAAATGACCACAAATTGATTTTCTTGGAAATTTGCACTTTGTTGGAAGCCTGATAAGTGACATGTCTGTCAGGTGCAAATTGAACAGCAGAGCTAAACATTTGGAGTAAAGCAGGATCATAATAGTGGTGCTTAAAGCAGGATGATAATAGTGGTGCTAGAAGATTTTATCTAATCTCATCCATCTATCTTCTGATGTGACATCATCACCATGATATTAAAGCATCTTTCCAATAGTAAATAACACTAGTAGATGTCACTATATAACAACCTCCACCTCTTAAAATAAGTCTGCATTCCGCATTGAGTTCCCCATTTCAGGTAGATCCTTCCACTCTTTTCAGGAAGAATTCCCCCTCTCACCAGGTTCCATAGATTCTAAGGGACCACTGTGATCATCTAGTTTGACCTCCTGTATAAAACAGGCCCTAGGACTTCCCTGAATTAGTTCCTGTTTAAACG